ATAACGCTCTGTGTCAGACAGCCTCCGGCTTTGACGCAAGGTCGCGCAAGATACAACGCGTAGCGCAACCGGAAGATGATACTGATGCTGCAAACAAACAATACGTGAAAATAAGTGTCAAGTTTTTGGAGGACAGACAGGAAGAATTTGAGAAAAAAATAATCACGCTCGAGACGAAAATGCAGACGCTACAAATAATGATGGATGAAATGCAGAAAATGCTTCGGTATGCAACTCACGCGCAGATTGAGACTGAGCGGTTTCGATTCGGTGCGCCTCTATAAATAGGGCCCCGATGACTCATTTTCCAAAATCTGATTTGAGATTCGCGAGAGCAAACATGCGGTTCGCGCGACAAGCGACGATAATCAAAGTGATAAATTTTGACGATAAAACACGAGTAATGTCCGAGAAAGAAATACGCAAGCATGGAAACATGCTGCCGACTACTATACGCGGTATCATTTGCGGTCCTTCGAATTGCGGTAAGACTAACGTGTTGATAGAAAGTCCACACGGTGTACATTTCGAGAATGTGTACGTATATTCGAAATCACTTCAACAACCGAAATATCGATACTTGGAAAATTTGCTATTATCGATCGATGAAATTGGTTATTTTACATTCTCTAATAATAGTGACGTTATTCCACCGAGCGAGGCGCTTCCGAATTCCATTTTTATTTTTGACGACGTGGCATGCGATAAGCAAGATACGATAAGAGAGTTCTTTGCAACGGGTTGACACTCGAGCGTCGATTGTTTCTATCTTTGTCAAACGTATGCCAAGATACCCAAGCATCTTATACGGGACAATGCAAATTTACTGATTTTATTTAAACAAGATGGTACAAACTTGAAACATGTATACAACGATCATGTAAATACTGACATGTCTTACGACGATTTTCGCGTATTCTTTCAGAAATGTTGGCAACACGAGTATGGATTTGTAGTGATTGATAAAGACAGTTTACAGACTAATGGACGATATCGAAAAGGATTTAACGATTTTGCAATACCGTAAAGTGGTTAGTCGCTATTGATACATCGATCGAGCAACGTCTAAAAATTTTCGTCCGAGCTCAACATGACGACGACTATTGACAGTGACGATCGTGAGAAGATTGCGAGAGAGATTGTAAAAACGAGCGAATCAATCCGCAAAAAATATCGTTCTTTAAAAACCGGTCAAATGGAGGAAGACGTCGCATTGGAGAGGCACTTTAAACCTATTATTGAACCTCTAAAACAGCTTGTCGAAAATACAATCAATGTGGAATCTAATGAAGCGAAAATCGAACCATCGAGTATGCTCGAAGACAAGCATCCGAAAAAAAAGTCTGGAACAAAGCGAACAAGGTCAAATATATCATTGAACGATTTGCTAATAACTTCTACTCCAAATCAATCAAAACGTAAGCGAATGAAACAATTATCGAATGTGGTTACTTCTACTCCGATAAAAGATGTACAATCGAGTCAAATATTGTACGAAAGATCGTCTCCGTATGTGGAAGAAATTTTCGAAACCATGCCTGAAACGCTTGTGACGTCGGTTCAATATCAATTACAAACATCCGAGGGTCAAAATACATTGCGCACACATCTGGGTCCACTAGGGCAAAAATATGTGGGAGCTATTTTGAGTTAAGATAAAAATAACAGTATGGATTATGTTTACGGTGTTAAATTTTGCAACGAAGGAATGATGCTTGGTGATAAAATTTTTGATGTGGATAAAGATGACAATATAATTATCGGTGGAATAAGATACGTGGGAACACCAGGTCTCTACGAGTTGATTTTCAAGAGAATACTCGACGGTGACGTATACAATGACGATGATAAAATTAAATACAAAAATATATTACTGGCGACAAATGCGCATAGATATGCAATGATATGCGTAATCCAGTGTTAAGTAACAAGGGATACAGGTATAAAAATATAATAGCGCCATTAATCTTTATTAAAAATATAATAGCGCCTGGAAAAAAAGTTGGAAGGGGTATAAACATACCGCGCGCTATGGCGTTAAACAATAATAAGATCGATTATGTGTATTGGAATGATCTCAACGAGTTGGTAGATCGCTTGCGATTGCTGGAAGCTTCGCGTCAAGCCGGCAACAATGCCCACGACAATGAAATATTATCAATTATCGAGGAACTTTACGAAGCTGGCCTTATTATAAATTAATCTATGCGTCGGCGAAACGAGTCAGTCTGTCATTATTGTTTGTATCGAAATGTCGATTAATAAATTTGGATTATCGTTGGGAACACCGAACAACTCATACTATCAATGGAATGGATTACTAAGAAATTACGTGCGCGATAACGCTCTGTGTCAGACAGTCTCCGGCTTTGACGCAAGGTCGCGCAAGATAGGACGGGTAGCGCAACCGGAAGATGATACTGATGCCGCAAACAAACAGTACGTGGAAATACGTGTCAAGCTTTTGGAGGACAGACAGGAAGAACTTGAGAAAAAAATAATTACGTTCGAGACGAATGTGCAAACGCTGCAAATAATGATGGATGAGATGCAGAAAATGCTTCGGTATGCAACTCACGCGCAGACTACATCTAATTCAGCGCAGGAGAAGAAAGATATATAAAGAATATACGTGGAGGAATTATCTCATTATTGCAAATTATGCCTTGATCAAATATGTCGCAAAAGACATCTGAAAAACAGTTGCTCGTGGAAGAATTGCATGCTCCAGCGAGAAAAAATTTCCCTCGTAGACGTGTCATCGTACGCGGATACGACGATCTGTGGCAGACGGACGTGGATGAGATGCGTCCATATGCACGATTCAACAAAGGCTACAACTACATACTCACAGTTATCGATGTGTTGAGCAAGTATGCGTGGGCTGTATCGCTCAAGAGTAAAAGTGGAAACGAGATGTCGAAAACGATCGCAAAGATAATTCGAGACGATGGAAGATGCCCGAAAAATTTTCGAATCGACAGAGGAAAAGAATTTTACAACGCAAATGTACAGAAACTCATGAAGAAACACAGCATTAATCATTATTCGATGTACTCTGTCATGAAAGCCTCGGTCGTTGAACGCAGCGCCGTTTTTTAATTAAAATTTTTTTATATTTTCTTATTTCTATTGAACTTATTTTGAAACTCAGGTTTTACATTCTCCCCGTATTATTAACTCTTCTATTATATCCTCCAGAAATCTTACGAAATCATCATGCGATGCACTCGGTGAATGATATATTACCATTATTATTCCTCTATACAATTTTTCTTTCACCTCAATCGCAGCACACCAACAATTCGACTCTAATTTTTTCACTAATACTATTTCATATTTAACATCATCCCTTATATATAAAACAACCCCTCCTGTATTTCTACTTTCAGCATCGCATCTAATTATACTATAACTTGGTACGTTCACTTCACTGTCTTCAATTTCAGCAGTCAATCTTGTCTCTGATAACGCTATGAATGCCGGATTTATTTTCTTCATAATCTGATGCTGTATCTCCTCTTTATGCGCCATCAAACTTTGCGCGTTTGTATACAATATTATTTCCGCTTCCTTCTGTAGTTGCTATTTCGCATCTTCCCAGCCGGCTCTTCTCTTCTCCTCCTGTATCACCCTTTTAAATGTTGGACATTCCGGGCTAAGAACGTCGTGTTCATCACTTATCTTCAGGTTGTATGTTCGAATTTTAAACAAAAAATTTACACATTTTTTCTTTGTTGCCGTACATTCAATCGTTTTATGATTTCCTGCACATTTGTTTATTTCCGCTTCCTTCTGTAGTTGCTATTTCGCATCTTCCCAGCCGGCTCTCCTCTTCTCCTCTTGTATCGCCCTTTTAAATGTTGGACATTCTGGGCTAAGGGCGTCGTGTTCATCACTTATCTTCAGGTTGTATGTTCGAATTTTAAACATACAATTTACACATTTTTTCTTTGTTGCCGTACATTCAATCGCTTTATGATTTCCCGCATTTGTGGCATGTTTCATCTCGCGTACAATTTTTTGCAATATGATAGTATCCCCAGCATTTAAAGCATCTTTTAACATTAATGTGATTGAATATAGGACATTTTCTCCATCCTACATTTAGTTTCTCTTTTTTCAACATTAATTCAATCCTTTCTTCATCTACTTCAATTATTATCGAACCTTCTTCTTTTTCTCTTCTTCTAAGTTGATTATTATCATTTCTTTTTTCTGTAACTATTTTTTTACTATTCGCATTTGGAATCCATCATTTATTGCATCAATTCTATTCTGCTTCTTAATTGTAGTTATTAAGTCATCATCATCCAATATCATTTCTTCTTCGCTAACATTGATAATTTTTGTTTTGGGCTTCATCTGCGGTGATTCCGTAACTTTGAAATTTTCTCCTAGTTTGTCCTGCACTGTGGCTTTCAACGTTTTCATTTCTTCTCCAGTTTCACAACCCATGATCACTGTCCCCTTGCTTCCTTTTTTTAGCTTCGTTATTCCCATCGCCATGTTTTTGATATCTACCTTTTCTTTTATCAATTTTTTTGTAACTTCACTCTCTTGTTGAATCTTGGGTTTGATAATTATAACATTCTCTTTCTTTTTCTCTTTAACCGCTTCACTATAGCTCCTTTGTATTCCTCCTGTTGATCCACATACTTCTCCCTGTATCATTCTTTTCAACTCTTCTAGCAGTTCCTGCTTAACAATTCCCAATTCTTCTCGAACTATTTCCTTAACCATCATTTTAATTTCCTTCTTACATGCTGTTTCATCTTTTATTTCTTTTACAATTTTTACCAGCCAATCTATTTTTACGTCAATAGTCGATGATCCACTATAGCTATATCAGGAGCGCCTGATATTCTATTTCCACTACTTGGCGTCGTAAACGAACCTGTAGATCCTGTAGATCCTAGCCTGTCCCTGCCGCCCCCGGCCACTGCCGATGCCTTCTTCATATCTGCTTCACTTTCAATTGTAAATCTGTCAAATGGGCCAGAACACGATACCAATTCTTGATTTTTATCGTAAATCCCATGCTTGCTTACACATCCTGGATGGTAAAACAGCTTAATACAATTCACCTGATAGCAAGACTTGCATGTCACCACCTGATTTTTTATTGTCTTTTTACATGCCGAGCATCGATATTCAGCATATTCATCGTCCATGCCGATAATTATCGGCCGAAACCGCTAATATCAGCGTAAGCGATCAGTCACCTCTGTTCCACTGTCACACGTCAGCACTTTTGTGTCCACCTTTAATGTCTACCTGTCGTGTGAGACTTTGGTGTCCCAGACAGGAAATGCACTTCTCACGCCCACAAATCAGCATATCCCGGCTAGATAACACTCATGGCTAATGCCGGTCTATGCCGCTATGACTTGAATAACTTTCTATCACTCCCCGTAACTATTTAACCGTTTAAAAGTTATTACTTTTGCGGAGCGATGTTTGACACGTCTTCTCCACTGCAGAGAGAGAGAGAGAGAGAGAGAGAGAGAGAGAGAGAGAGAGAGAGAGAGAGAGAGAGAGAGAGAGAGAGAGAGAGAGAGAGAGAGAGAGAGAGAGAGAGAGAGAGAGAGAGAGAGAGAGAGAGAGAGAGAGAGAGAGAGAGAGAGAGAGAGAGAGAGAGAGAGAGAGAGAGAGAGAGAGAGAGAGAGAGAGAGAGAGAGAGAGAGAGAGAGAGAGAGAGAGAGAGAGAGAGAGAGAGAGAGAGAGAGAGAGAGAGAGAGAGAGAGAGAGAGAGAGAGAGAGAGAGAGAGAGAGAGAGAGAGAGAGAGAGAGAGAGAGAGAGAGAGAGAGAGAGAGAGAGAGAGAGAGAGAGAGAGAGAGAGAGAGAGAGAGAGAGAGAGAGAGAGAGAGAGAGAGAGAGAGAGAGAGAGAGAGAGAGAGAGAGAGAGAGAGAGAGAGAGAGAGAGAGAGAGAGAGAGAGAGAGAGAGAGAGAGAGAGAGAGAGAGAGAGAGAGAGAGAGAGAGAGAGAGAGAGAGAGAGAGAGAGAGAGAGAGAGAGAGAGAGAGAGAGAGAGAGGGAG